GTGCCAAGTCCAAGATACATACCACAAACGCTATCCAAGCATCCAAGGGCCCTTGCACAAAGCGCTCTAGTGGCGGATCTGGCACACTCCGTTCACTCAAGATGTCCTTTCCCAAGGAAATCGGGCCTTTCCAGCTGGATTCTAACTTCGGCTCAGATGGGCTACCCTCAGTGACCATAGAGCCAAGCCGAGCAACATTCTCCCCTTCATGGCTTTCTCTGGCTGCTTCAAAGAGGGACTGGTGATGCTCATCCTCTTCAACTTCTGAGTCTTGGGATAGGGCTTTGTCAAGCATTCTCTGGATAATGCCCTCTTGCTCTCGAAACTTCTTGTCGAGGACTTGCACGATCCAGCGCTGTTGTTCTGACCATTCCTCGTCCTCCTTCGAGGAAAAAGATGTAGGTGGCATCATGGCTGGAGAGCTATCCACACAATCATTTTGATTCAGAGCCGAACTGCCAGAATTACGCACACAAATAGCAGAACCATGCAAAGGCAATACTTTGTCCTACCTTACAACAAATCTGGACAGGTTAGAAACTATGATCATGATCCATCCACTCTCCAATGGATCAAATGAACCTAAAATGGCCAAGAGCTAGCATTGATGTTAGTCCTGAGTTTTGCGCCCGAAGCACTTTGACTCTATGAATTGTGCAAATCCTGGAGCAGTATGATGGCAAAGATAGCACTGGCCCTTTTGGCAAGCTGCTGATGTTAGGTGGCCGACTGCAGTGGACTCTGCAGCCAAACTTCCGTGTGGTCGCAATTTCAGGCTTGAAGTTTCATCTTACTGATACTTGTGAGGCTGAACAGCAGATAATCTTCCTTGATGCTTGGTGATCGACACAATCAAAGATCATTGCTCTTCGACAGGACTTTGAGGGTGAACTTTGCGATCACCACTGACAATATTCAATAGTTGGATTCAAAGCCGCAAGCAGGCTGCACTTTTGTTCGCCTGTATGGATGGTACTTTTTCACTGAACAGGCACGATCCCACTTTGACACCACTCGCAGTGGCAAGTGCCGTTACTGTGAGGGTCCAGACACCTGGGAGCATCGTCTGAGGTGGTGCCCCCAACATGTGCAAATCCGCCAAGGCTTTCGCAACTTGCACCGACAATGGAATGCACTGCCTCGGTGCCTCTCTTTGCATGGCATTTGCCCTCGCGTCCCTGCTCAGCATCATTTCTGGATTGCCCTTCAGAATATCCCGGATGGCACGGAGGTTTTTGAGCGATTAGACTTCCCAGATTGTCAACTGTTTGTCGATGGCTCCTGCTTGCTCAGCTCGGAGCCGGAGAAGGCGCTGGTGGCTTGGGCTGTTACCACGCCACTAAGGACTTTGTTGTGAGTACTTCGCCACTGAGTGGACTTAGACAGACCATTTCCCGGGCGGAGCTGACTGCCTTTTTGTCAGCAGCGCGCTGCGCAGGACGATTGAGACGAGAAATCCACATTTGCACGGATAGCCAATACGTTCACGATGGCTTTCTTGGAATTGTCCATGGACAAGATTGTGAAGACACAGAGAACTACGCTTTGTGGCGACTGGTTTTTGAAAGCTGGGAGTTGCTGGAACATCCGGTTGTGGTTCACAAAGTCTGGTCTCATTTATCTGCCGATTTTCTCGCGATCCATTCACGGACTATATACTGGGTTGCTGGAAATTTCACTGGCTGAAATAGCTGCCACCACCACAAACAAACAAAAACCATTTTTTGTGGCTTTGCAAAAACGTCTGTGTGGACAGCTGGCTCACTTCAAAAGATCAACCAGGAGCTTTATCCTGGAGATTGCGGAGGCCCATGCATCCTGCCCCAATGAGGCCCTGGAGTCGCTGACCCTGAATGAGCTGAGGGGGCATAGAGTCACTAATCCGAATTCGTTTTTATTTCATTATCTTGATTTGGCTGAAAGTAGTCGCCAGGTGCGGCAATCACAGATTGCTGATATCTTCGGGAGGGATTTCGTGATGTCCATTTTTGGTTGGTTGGTTGGTTGTGAGGGTTTGTCGGATGGTACTTCTTTAGTTTCCTTCCTGGAGTTGTTCATCGGCTGGCGAATGGCTACTGGCCATTACATTCCAGTGGAGGATCCCATCTCACGAAGGTGGGTGGATCCGGACAATCTGCTGGTAGATTGTTTTTGAGGCACCTTGGCACACCGGATGTCGATCTTTCGGAGGGTTTGTTTTGGCAATTTTTAAGGAGCTTGGTTTGGTTGTTTCTCCGGGTGGTGTGGTTTTGACTCACTGCAACGTTGTGAAGATGCCTGGTGTGATGGTGTGCTGGCCCTCGCAGCTGGCCACTAGAGTGGATAGCTTTTGAGAGGACAGTTTCATAGATCCCCGTTGAGGTCTAATGTCGATGTGCCGTAGATGATCGCAAGCTCCACTGCTCAACATGAGCTGTGGCTTGGACAGATTCGCAAGTTGCGCTATGAATTGTGCAAATTCCATGACAGAAGCCCATTCTTCGTCGGAAGGTCACCAAGCACAGCTTGCGTACTCGGAATTATCATTCCCTCGCGGCAGGGCACAGCAGTTATCTCACCTTCAATGACACTCAATGTCTTGTATCAGCTTAGACTCAGAGGTTGAGTTTACATACTTCAGTTTTGCATCAACCAAGCTGCTATGGCACTTTTCATCAGCCACGAAGAGGTGCACTCATCTTCTCCTCCTTCTTCCACTTGCCATCCCGCAGAGCAAAAACAATTTAAAAAAAAATAGCCGAGGGCTAAGCACGAATTGGGTGGTCGCTGAGGCACCTACCACTAGTGAACAAATTGGTGGCAAGAAACGGCTCGTCCTGTTGACTGTATATCGATAGTGCTTCTTCCTTCTCAATCAATCGCCTCACCGCAAACAGCAAGACCACCATGCATGCACTTGGACAACTTTCCACAAAACATGCACTTGTTTTTGATTACGTATGTTCTGCTGTGCTTGTCTTCACTCAATCTTGACCAAGGCAGAGTGGACATGAACGCAAACCGTGAAATCACAGGACACATTGCAAACATGGACGCTCAATCTTTGGAATTCCCTTTCAAAACATTTCGCAGAACAAAAAATGTACAGTTTGTACAAAAATGGATTGAGGTCACAGCACCTTCTTCAAATAATGGATTGAGGTCACAGCACCTTCTTCAAATATGCTTGACGACGTTCAAGTTGAGATACATTGCATCTTATCAAAGTTCAATTCAGGACCACCAAAGACTACTGCAAAATAAAACACTATTAAAAAACAAGGTGAGCCCGCAAACCCAAAAGCAAGAACCCCAAAATCACTGAGACGTTCCAAACTCCAGCCGCTCCATCTTCCATCCGCAGCCACTTCCAGCAAAGAGCCCACCAAAGCTGATCATGATGGCTTGAGAATTCCCTTAGTTTTCTTTTTCGGGTGCATTTTGAGGGTGTGATCCGCGCCCTTATTTTCCAATTGTTCAAGAAACTTCAAAAGATCTTCAGCCAGAGAAACACAAGTTTGTTTAAAGTTTTGGGTGTTTCAAGTCATGCAAACACACATATATATATAACAATAATTTTCTCAATTTCCAGAAATCTGCTGAAAACAATAAAAACCTGACCTATCAAAACCTTTCGAAGTCTACTTTTGTCTTTTGGATTCTTTTGGCTTGTAGAAGGCCGCGGTCACAGGCCGAAACCAGCACTTACAAGGGTAAGAGGTAAAGGGACTGCACCGTGAACAGGAAAGGCAGCTCCAGCTCGTTCAATTCAAACTATAAAGAACGGATTCAACAAACAGAAGGCAAAACCAGCCTCGGTTCACAGAATACTGAGTATACTGCGAACGGAACATTCTCCAGCTTGCTGCAGTGCTTCAGCAATGGACTGATCGCCTGGCGCACTTCAGACCCGGCAAAATGCACAGCACACAACGTTTGTTGGGGCATGGCCTTTCTGCAGCCTCCGACTAGGCCGTTTCACAAACCCAGTGAAGAACATGTTCATGTTTGCTGCAGACCATACAGGCACCGACACAGGAAGCCCGCTCTGGGAAGTTCAAGTCCCCCGCCAGAATTGTGTGAATTGTTTCATAGTCCTCCTTCAGCAGGCAACATGGATCCAAACCAAGCAGGCCAAGATGAATCAAAATTATGGAGTTGAAGAATATCGACCTCTGACCTGCTACGAATAACACAGGGGCTTCTCTTGGTTGGGCTACCAAGTCACAGAATACATGTCACCAGGAAGATGCCCAGGTTTTCCACAGACCTCTTTTGACCATACCTTTGGTTTGGTTTCGCCTCACGGAGTTGCCTGTTGATCTATTTCACTGTTCAACATGAAGCATCATCACGATGTTTGCACAAAGTTCAACCTGCGATCGCATCTCTTCAATCACTTCTCTTCTTTGGGGCCCAGGCGTGGTCATACAATCCGGAACAAAGCTCTGTGAGAACCTGCCACCACATTTTTGAGCCTACCACGGAAATTCTAAAGGAGCCTGATGGTTTACTTGGCCACACGAGTCACGATAGAGCTGCCTGTGCAGCTTGATCTGCCAGTGAGGGGCAGAAAATTCGATAGAAACTCAGCACCAAACACCAAGCGGACACGCCTAGCCGGTCGGTATACCCGTTGGGCGGGCCTTTCGGAAGCTTCGCCTGGGTTGGGCGCAAGGCTTCTTTGCCGCTTGGCTTCGTACTGGGATTTCGGCACTTTGCCAGGCGCTTTCCGTTATTAGCGCTCAGAGCACTAAACCCACATCGCCTGGTTTGGGACACGAACAAGAAAGCCCTTGGAAGAAGCTTCTCGTTGCAGGCGATCAGCACCGGTCAGCATTCTGTAATCAGTATATATAACTAGTTATCATATAATATATATATATATATGTATGTATGTGTTTACAATCATGTACATATATGTGAATATTTAAAAAAGTAAAGCCCCTTTTCCTTGCAACCCCAAGCTAGCAGCTTCGGGATATGGATGGTCAGGGTTGTGAGACAACGACGTGTTTGTGCTAGGTTGCAAAAACCGTTGACTCCGCCTGGAACCCGTGAAAACCGACTGAATTCGATGGGCTGGCGCCCATACCAGCCAGGGCCAAAGCCCTGCCAAGTTTCTGGATCAACTGGACCGTTTTCTTCACGTCCTTGGATGTCTTTCGGCATTCCTTCAGAATTCGAGCATTTTCGGACTGCAGGCCCACCACGTCAATTGGTTTCACATTGCCTTTGAGTTTGGAAATTCCCCGACAAAACTCTGTGATCGTAACCAAGCCATCTCCGTCATCTAGAATTTCAAACAAAGCCCCCCAGTCGTGCACGGTCACATCAAGAACTTTGAGGTAGTACTGCACGCTAGGCAGGCTCATGGTTTCCATGAACTCTTCCAATGTCAATAGACCATCCCCATCATTATCAGCCAAATGGAAAAGAGCTTCGATCTTGCTCTGGTAGTTTTTGTACACGCGCTCCGTGTCTTCAAGCATCATGTCGGCATCATTGGCTGCACTTGTGAGCGTCTCTTTCAAAAAAAGGGCGGTCACAATTTTGATGACAGCAAACACCACTAGAGCAATGTAAAACAAGAAAGGCACAGCATACCAACTGCTGACTTTTGATGTCACCGGTCTGACACGGTTTGGCCAAGCTCCACTGAACGTTATCTCGAACATTGTGTACAGGGTTCGCCAGAAGTTGCCATAATATTGCCGCAGTTCAAGCCTATCTGCCAAGCTTGCAGCGTTGTCAGTTATAAACAGCTGAAGCGCCTGACATATGGCCAATGCAAAGCCAATTTGCAGAATCATCAGTAGAACCATCGACCAAAAGAGGGCACCGATACTTGCAACACACGTCCCCACAAGAATTCGCAACTGCCTGAACAAAGACACCTTAGCATGCCGCCAGTACAAAAAGAATCAATTCACATCACCAAACTCTTGGGTTTTCATCTAAATGGTAACGCCTCATACCTCTAAGCGAGCAAACCAATTATATATTCTGGTAAATATCTCTATTTAACGCTTTTGAATTAGATTCAAACATGTGCGAGTGTGAGTGGAATTGACTGGATTTGTCTTATGTTCGCCGGACCCAGGATAACTCTGTGAATCTTGAACATAACAAAAAACAAAAAAAACTACATAAAGCAAAAGCAAAAGAAAGCAAATCCAAAAAACAAAGAAAAGCAAATGAACTAAACGACGGTTGGCCCGAGAGCGGGACAGGTGATTGTCAAGCACTTCCTAGTAAGGAAATCGTTACAATATCCCCCGTGATTGTTCATAGGCGCGCTGATTTTGCAGTTTATAAACTTTGTGGGTTTATAAAATGTGTGGGATATGTTTTTGTTTATAAAATGCAAAACCAACTAGTTTACAAAATGACCAGCACAGGTTGTGATAGGTTAAGATAGAAATCGACATCCAGGAAGAAACACTTTATAAAATGCGAATTGCTCATCGGAAATGTCCGTAAGAAGCCAAATCCGGATACTTTATAAAATGAAAGTTCGTCGTGTCAAGATCTCAAGATTCTGAAATAGTTAAATAATTATTTTTTAGATTCTTTAGTAATGATTCAGGTTCTGAATTTTCAGATTCTGAAAATTTCTATTTTCAATAATAAAAGACAGGAATTAGACCAGCAAACTATCTAAAAATATTGATTTTTCACATCAAAAAATCATACACTTTAAGAAATGGCCTCCAACCTCTTCAAACATCAGTGGAAGACAGGAACTGAAGGAATATGACCAGGAAAATAACTAAGAATTAAAAATTAACTAGCTACTTTTTCTACACTTTTTCTCCTCTCCCCCTGTCTCTGTGTCTATTCCCTTTACGGGGGGAGAGCGGTGAGCACCCCTCGGCCCCCAACCTGTTCGCCGGTTCCCGGCTCGAACGGTCTCCCGGTAAAGGACCCAACACCGGTGAACCCGTTCGGACCGCTGCCGCACACCGCTCCGCTCCCCCACCGTAAAGGGAGCTTGTGGTGGCAGCAAAAAATTGAAACTCGGCAAAAGACAACCTCGATGGAGTCTTATAGGTGGACGAACTGAGCCTGCTCCGCCCCAAAAGCAGCCCTAAATCCGGGCCTTACCGGTAAGGCCCGGATTTCCACCTCCAAGGGCACCAGCAGAACAGGTTGGAATACCGACGGATGATCCGACGTCCCTTTTTCTTGCAGATGTGATGTTGGGTCCTGCCACGGGGTGTCGGCCGCACACCGCTCTCCCCCCGTAAAGGGAATAGACACAAAGACAGGGGGAGAGGAGAAAAAGTGTAGAAAAAGTAGCTAGTTAATGTTTAATTCTTAGTTATTTTCCTGGTCATATTCCTTCAGTTCCTGCCTTCCACTGATGTTTGAAGAGGTTGGAGGCCATTTCTTAAAATTTAGGATTTTTAGAAAAATATGAAAAATCAATACCCTTTTAGACAGTCCAGAACATGATCTTTATAAAATGAGAAATCATGTTCTGACCATCCTCTGACAACTCGACAAGTGAATGTTTACAACATGAGATTACGGGGTTCACCTGCCCTTTATTACTGTCATTCAGTGTCCAAGTTAGTAAAGTTTATAAAATGACGATACTCCAGATCTTATGTAGTTATCCAAAAAAACAAAAAACAAACCCTAATGTTTATAAAATGTGTCTTGGAATTTGCATTTTGTAAAGGGAAAGGATCTGCATTTTATAAGCCCACAATCACGGGGGATGTTACAATCGAGTTGTCCAAGAGCCATGACATCTTAATATTAAGAGAAAAGATATGTAGAAAGAGAAGAGGGGGCGGTGAAGGAGCGACAATGTGGACGTGCAGGTGTGATATAGATGTGCAGATGTGCGGGTGTGTGGAGGTAGAGAGGTAGATCTGCGGATGTGAGCATGTGAAGATGTAAATGTACAGAGGTGAGGGGGTGTAGACGTAGATGCGCAGATGAAGCGGCAGCGCAACGCTGTGGCTCAGGAGCGCCAACCTTGATGCATTTCTCGCTGTGCAAGCACATGGACCGCCAATCATCCCGCTCACCAGCGGCCTTTCGCACGAGACTTCCTCCAAACGTGAAGCGCGATCAATCCAAAACGCGATCTCACCTGCATTTCGCGCACTCAACACGCACGATCTCCGCAGAGGGTTGCGCCGGACTGGGCCAATACGCAATCTCACCTGCGCCCTCGACGCGCACGATCTCCGCATAGGGTTGCGTCGGACCGGGCCAAAACGCAATCTCACCTGCACTCCGCGCCCTCGACACGCACGATCTCCGCAGAGGGTTGCGCGGGACCGGGCCAAAACGCAATCTCACCTGCATTTCGCGCCCTCGACACGCACGATCTCCGCAGAGGGTTGCGTTTCGTGGTGCTCCGGCGGCACCGCCCCCGGCCTTAAGAGAGAAAGAAAGAAGAGCGACAGGATACGCAAATGTGAGGTGTGCAGATGTGAAGATGAGCAGAGATTTAGATGTGCAGATGTGAAGATGAGCAGAGATGTAGATGTGCAAATGTAGATGTGCAGGTGTGAAGATGAGAAGAGATGTAGATGTGCAAATGTAGATGTGCAGATGTGAAGATGTGAAGATGTAGATGAGACGTAGTTCTACAAATGCTTTTTTACGAAAAGCCCTTCGCGGACGCTCTCGGGAAAAAGCAAAAGAAAAATATAACAAATCCAAAAGTCAAAAAACAAAAACAAATGAAAAGCACAGAAAAAATAAAGCAAATCCAAAAAGCAAAAAGCAAGCAAATGAAAAAGCAAACGCTTAAAAAACAATCCAAAAAGCGAAAGCAATTTTCTGTGTGTTTTCCCGCTTGTTTTTTGCTTTGTGTTTGCTTTTGTTTCTCGTTTTTGTCCGCTTTTTGTGTTTTGTTTCGCTTTTTTGCTTGCCAGCATGTTTCCCCTTTCTTTTTCGCATGTGTCTCGCTTTTTTTCACTGTCTTTTTTCACTTGCCGTTTTTTGCTCTTTTGGTTCGCTTTTGCCTTTTTTTTCGCTTTTTGGTTCGCTTTGTTTTCGCTTTTTGCTATTTCATGTGCTTTTTTTGTTTCGCTTTTTGCTTTCTCATCCATGTTACAAAATGGGGTAGGGGGTCCTGATTGAGATTTTATAGATATAAAACGGCGCGGTGTGACCCCCAATGCGTTGATACAATGAGCCAGCTCTATAACATGAATGTGCTGACCCTCAAACGTCTTATAAATTGATGCGGTTTGATACCATCAAGCTAACTGGCATGAAGAGGGTGTGATGTCTATGAAATTCACCGTCCTGACACCACATTCAACATCAGATAACACCAGCAAGCCTCCATCATGAACCCTTGCGTTTCCAAGCTGTGCGCAACTGCATGCCACAATGTGTGTCCACAATTGTTTGCTATAACGTCACTCGTATTTACCATCACTAATGATTACTCTATAAAATCCTACGCCAGGAAGGTTTCTCTATAAAATCAACGTATCAACGTAGTGACCCTCTTTTGTATATATAACAATTTAAAACACATGTTGACCCTCTCATTATATAAAGAGGTATTGGAACATAGATGCTTTTTTATGTGTTTTTTTCCACTTTGTGTGTCGCTGTTTTTTCGCTTTTTGCTTTTTAATTGCCGTTTTTTGCTTTTGGGATCTGCTTTTTTGGGCTGTTGCTTCTTCATCTGTTTTTTTTGCTTTTTGGATTTGCCTTTTTGCTTGTGCTTTTTGTAGTTGCTTTTCTTTGCTTTTATTATTTGGCAAAACCATCAGAGATAGCCCAAGTGGTTTACATAAGATTTGTCAAACATCAAAGATGTCACAATAATGGAAGCCCAAACTTGCATTGGTGGTCGTCTCGGTGTCTGTTTCTAGGTCGGCAAGCATTGTATGCAAGATCGTGTTGACAAAACTGCAGCATGACCAGGAACAAAACTCTTGTACGCTGAAATAATTTTACAAAAATAACCAGGACGTGGAATCAGAATACTACGAGCAGACCGGAACACCCCTACTGATCTGCACAGAAAAGGGCTCAAGTCTTCGATTTGATGACACAATAGCGGATCCCAAATGAAACCCACATGTAGACTTCCAAAAAGACCAAGCCATGAATGCTCAAGCAGGACAACTGTGCATACGCCAAGTGTGGGCAAGAGTACCTCCCGGCAATATCAACAGCTACATGTCAGGTGAAAACAGCTATACATATACATACATTGTTCAATCCAGAAGTGTAAAAAGGCTATACCGCGCCCTTTTTGGATTACTTTGTCCTTTTATGTTCATAGGTCCTGTGTATAAAACAGTATCCTAGTGACTTGCTGTAGCTCGGTGGAGCCGGTGTACATTCCATAACTGAAAGTTACAAGTAGAAGCTCTTGCTTTTTCCAAATTCCAGCATTGAAACGTGGAATGCCCCAAAAGTACACGGAAAATGTCGTTTGGGAGCATTTTTAGTATACTACTGTAAACAGAAATTAGAACAGGTATTCAAAGTTTGAGTTGTGGTGCAACTAGTAAAAAATATCACACGGCATGTCTCCTTCCAGCTTGAGGATGGCAAACCACACTCCTGTCCTTTGTTCTGCTTTGTCCTCTCTTTTCTCCTCGCCTTTCCTTCACTTTCCGTCTTGCGCCTTTCCCTCCCATCTTCCTGCATGTTCCACTCTTTCCCCTCCATTGGATTTCTATCCCCCGCCTTCTCTGACATGATGTCTGCTGTGTGGCATTCTAAGTCTAATTTGTCCCTTGCACGATTCCTCATTTCCATCCAAGAGGCTCCTGGACACGGTCTAGACATGTTGATGCACAATTCGAGCCGTGGCCTTTCTGCACTCCTGCTGTGAAACTGTGGTTCTTGTAATGCATGCGAAGTACCCAAATTCCTCCTTTTCCATGTTCCCCACCAGTTCCCCAAAAAGCAAGCTCCTGGACACAATTCAGAAAGTATGATTTGTTCCTTTGGCCGAGGGTACCCTTGTCCCTGCCAGTCTTGCGTGCTTCCTTCCCCGTTCCCGTCGCTTCTTTCCCTGTGCTTTCCTCTCCTTTCCTTTGTGTTCTTTCTTCCTTGCCCTTTTGGTGTCCTTCCCCGTCCTTTCTGTCCCAAGCCTCTACCTCCCCCCTTCATTCTCATCAACCTTCTTGAATATGTCTGTTGTGGGCATTCCAAATTTACGACTTGTCCTTGCCATGTTCCTCGGCATTTGCCTCAGAAAAGCTCCTGGACACGATCTACGCGTGTCACTCATGTCACTTATGCCTTTGAGCAGTCAAAATCAACCCTATCCCCTTCCATGCTTGTATGTTTCTCCTTCCCATTCCTATCCATTCTTTTCCACTGCTTTCCTTTTGTTCTGTTTTGTCTTCTCCTTCTCGTTAGCATTGCCCTCCCATCTTCTTGTATGTTCCACTCTTTCCCCTCCCTTGGCTTTTATATACCCTGCCTTCTCCGCTTCGCGTCCCATTCACAAGGCATTCCAGGTACACAACCTTCCCACGCCATTTTGCGCATGTCGCTCCTAAAACCTCTCTGACTGAGCCCAGGGCCTAGAGATGTGCCTATTACTATACAGGCTTCTGGACACTCTCTAGGCATGTCATGTGTATGCTTTCGAGTCGTGGCCTTTTCCCTTTCTTCCAATCGTGGCAATTTTGCCCTTGTCCTCCAAAAGTCTCAGCAAGCTGCCCAAAAAATAGCCGTATATAAACCCTTGGCATCACAAACCAGCATTCCAAGCTTATGTGCCTGTGCATGGCCGTGGCAGGTTCCACAACCACATGCATGCAAGAACAGGTCCAAAATGTTGAAAACGTGTAAAACACGGCGACAACTGCATGTTCCCTGCAATTTTGGCTGCAAATTCCCTAAACATATCAGGGTTTTGAGCCACTTCTCTTGACCCATTAAACCAAAAAAACGGCACCAAATTCACGGTACACCACTACTATCACTGTCCTGTTCACCTCGCTGATTTCAGGATTTCCAACATTGCATGCCATCCTTTGGTCTTTTTATATATATATATATATAACTATAACTGCATCTCTTCAAATGTGCATTAACATGCTTACGGGGCTTCCAGCGGCTTCCAGGTTGCGGGAATACACCAACCTGGATCTTCTAACATCTTCTAACTAGACTCGGACGAGGGACAGAAGACCCGCATCATACACTGACACTACCACGGATTGAATCAGGTGTTCATTCAAGTTTGCGGCGGACCCCATCCCAAAGTATCTCTCATACACAGTACATGGCATTTGCCTACACATAGAAACAGGATGATGGGCCAATGGCTGGGAAAACAAAGAGTTGCCGTTGTGCCGGGTTGGTGCTTGAGAAGCAGGTAAGTAATTAATATGCCAAATCTGGTGGCATGCCTTCATTACCAATGTGCAATCCGTATTCTGTGTTGTTTGCGCTTGCAAGGATGCGCAAACCCCCATTATGCTAGCCATTTAGAGTCTACAACTACAACCATAGCGGCAAGACACCAAGTGGTCGATCAGAAACAGCGCGAGGAACTGATTGCGCCGAGAAGCAGTTTTGAAAATCCGCAAGGTGCGCACAATCCGCACCAGCTTGATCACTCTGATCGGGGTGGCATTCTGCTGCTGATCTCCTAGCAACCTTTGTCAAAGCACGCAACAGGTAAACCAGGAATCAGGAACCAACATGTACTTTCACCATACTTTACAGTAACTTATTGCGATGTCTAAGGGTCTGGCACTGGGAGCGCAAGAAGTTCAAATGCGTTGATCGCAACCAGCACTGCATCAAACATGTTAAGGTACATCCATCCTTCAATTCGGTCAAAGTACCATTCCTTTCGAAGGATCACGATCCGCAGCCCTACATCCAAAAAGTAAATGCTGAAGAAAATGTACTCCGCAACCTCAAAAGTCAAGTCAGACACACCATTCCAGGTCTGCTCCAATAGTCCAAGGGCATAATCTGCCTCAGCGGCCTGGTACTCGGTCATTGCTGCAATGAAAATGAGATTGATTATCACCACCACACTCATGTAGGAATCCATCGATCTCTTGATGAAAACCTTGAAGGGTGGATCTGGTGCCAGCTTCTCAGCCATGATGTGTTTGCCCAAATTTTTGCCCGACTTGACCTTGGGAATGGGAGGGGTTGTTGGCGTATCCACGTTAGCCTCATCACTGCTCAGAGGTAACGCGAACAAGTCCGAAGCCTCACTGAGCGCAAAGGAGTTGGTTCCGGCCCCACTCACATCCCTTGACAGTAGCTGACTCGAAATTCTGAGGTGTTGGGGTTGCTGCAGGATACTTCTGATGACTGCTTCTTGCTCTGCAAATTTTGCATTCAGAACATCCAAGAGCCATGCCTGAAGCTCAGTCTTATCGACCTCCTTTGAGGCCCACATCTCGCAATAAACTATGCACCAAGCTCGCTAGACTGACTCCCTGATCTTGAGCAAACATGTGGGATAACGAGCGATGTAAGCAATGCGCAAACCAATGCAAGCTGTTCAAAGCCAAATCTGGCACAGAAAAGTCATGTGTCGTCCAGCAACTCAGACCATGGCGAACGGGGGCAACCATGTTCCACCTTGGCTGTTCAAACATTGCAGTTGATGTTGTTATCTATATAGATGCCATACAATACATACGGACACACTAACTAGTAAAGTACAATACAAATATATGTGTTTGTTTAATAAATATATATATATAAATCGATATTGTTTCATAGCCATCGTGTGCCGATTTGTCCGTTTTCCTAGCATGTTCACGGTCTTATTCAGCACACTCCCTTTAGGAGGTGCGTTTCGGAGAAGAAAGAGGGGTGAGAGTCCGTCGAAGATCTTGATGGATTTCTTTACATTCGCGAAAGAGCTTGGCCAGCTCATGCTGCAGCACAATGATGTCCAAAGCTCGGGCCTGCCCCTTGAGCTGCATTAGCCCTTTGCAAAACTCGGCGATTGTGATGCGGCCATCACCATCATCCAAAATCTCGAAAAGAGGTCCGGTATCTCTAATGTTTACCTCCATTGACTGCAAAAACCCTTGCACACTGGGAAGGGTAAGGGCTTGGACAAATTCGTCAGGCGAAAGGTGCCCATCTCCGTCATCATCAGCTGCATGAAAAAGTTCTTGCAACTTCATGTTTGCTTCGACTGCAGAGCGTCGATTGTCTTCCATCACCATGTCGGCGTCATTTGCTGCACTTGCTAGTGTCTCCTTCAAGAAAAGAGCCGTCACTATTCTAATAACTGCAAACACCACCAGTGTGATGTATGCGAGAAAAAGGACGGCATACCATGCATCAACCTGTTCCACGATAGGTCTCACAACAGCTGGCCAACTGCCACTGTGCGTTATCTCAAACATCGTGTACAGAGCTTTTAGAAAGCTACCATACAAGCGGTTGACTTCGATACGAGTGCTCTCTTCGGTGCCTGGGTCCATCACTACACCCTGCAAGGCTTGGCAAATAATCAATGCAAAGCCTACCTTCATCACCATCAGCAAGATCATAGACCAAAAAAGAGCACCAATACTGGCAATGCAGGTCCCCACTAAAAGCCGGAGCTGCCGAAATAGCTGAACCTCAGCGTTTGACAATGCAACAGCGTTGAGTGCCACACCTCGCAGGCTCTAAGCGCACAACTCTACAAGCATAACTGTTGTAAGAACCGGTGGCGACTCCCTCTTCTGAAGGTAAACGTGATCCTTCATGGGATAGTTAAGAAAACGCTCGTGATGCTGTTGACTGAACAAATCCTGCCCTGCTTCTGCAAGGAAAATATAAAATAACTATATATACTGCAAGGATGATATCGTTCTAGGAACAAGTAGCTACTAGGGGCTCCTGGCCTTCCTACTGGGAGCAAGGACGCTACTAGGGGCTCCTAGCATCGCTACTAGGAACAAGTAGCTATTAGGAGCAAGTACCCTTTCATTTACTCTTTAACTCAGGCAAGATCAAAACCTGGCCTCAACGGCAAAACATCTGCTCTACTTGTATATACCTGTATGTCACACCAGCCAGAAGAATAAGGGTCTCTGCACCGATGTCTGTTGGTTGTGGAAGAATGAGAACAAAGAAGGTAAGTGTAAGGGCCTATTCCAAAAAAGCCTGCTAAACCAAAGAACGTGCCTTCTTTATCCTCTTTTTTGGTTTGCAGTCCAGGGCACTGTCTTCACAATACGCAAAGTACGCGCAATGCGAAAAAGCTTGATGACCCGAATGCTGTTCACTTGATCCGGGTCGCTTCCAAGCACTAGCCTCAGCTGTTGGAGTGCGGCCTGCCCCAATCATCGCCAAAATCCTCTACATTTTTGGGCACATGGCACAATTAAAGCTTCTGCAATCCCAACTAAGGCTGGCACAGCGGTAGAAGCAGCAGCTCAACCGCGTTCACAGCTACGACGCATGCATCAAAAACATTCAGAAACATTATGCCTTCCCTCTTGTCATAGTACCATTCAGATCGCAATATGATAATCCGAACGAGCACATCAATGGCATAAGTAGAAAAGAAAACGTATTCAGCAACCTGGAAGAATGTTTCACCAATGCCCCATTCTGGCGGTGGTCCAACATTGAGCATACTGTCCGCATTTGCGGCAGTCCATTGCGTCTCCAGAATCATGAAAATCAAATTTACGAGGACGACGATGCCCATGTAGCCGTCAAGCGGTCCTTTCACAAAGGCCTTCATTGGAGGGTCTGGTTCTAACTTCTCGCTCATGACTTGAAGTCCCAATCTGCCTGCACGCGTGACCTTGCTCACAGCATGCGCTGATGTGTCCATGTGAGATTCCAGCTTCGATTCTTCATCGGGCGAATCGAAATCACTCACTTCCACTACTTGCTCTTTGGGCTGCTCAAAGCAGAGTTGGTTAGCGTTTGAATGCCACGAATGCGGCTTATGTTCCAGCAACTCACGAATCAAAGCTTCCTGCTTAGCAAACTTCGCATCCAGAACTTCTAAGAAGAACTGCGGTGTCAATTGAACATTCTTTGCCATGCCCGAATCACCAGGTGTTGGCATCTTTTCCGCCGAGATCTAGTTGAACATGCAGCACGCTTCTTGGGCCACAAATGCCGAGGATAGCGTATGATGCGCAGCAATGACCTCCAGGTTCACGTTGATATACATATATACATATATTATATGTATATGTATGTATATATAACTATATATATATATCCCTTTCGGCAGTACCACCGTCACATGTTTGACACCCTGCAGCAGGACAACTTGGCAAAAGGGATGCAACCCAAAAACTCACAGTCATGAAATTAGTTGGGGTGTAAAGTCACCGGAGCCATGTATCTTCATGTATCTTCCTGATGTTGCTTCCCCAAGTCGTCCTGCAATGCATCCGCTGCAATCACTCTTTTCATTTGCTGGTCTTCTAGTCAATTTCCTGAACCCCAATTGGGCTGAGAGGCTAAGAGGATTAATTAGCCCCGGAGATCAAATATCCCCGGCATCTACTTAATGACTTCATTCTACACAGGCATCTTGCACGAAGCTTCTCAGAGTCTGGAACAAATCCACATCGTCAATTCCTATGTATTTTTTGAACTCTGTGTGCTGCAGTCGGTCCATATTCTGCAAAAGGGCTTTAGCCGCCAACGGCTCGCTCTCCAGTTCTTGGAAAGAGTTTATGAAAGTTCTGATGGTAAAAAGAACTGAGGAAGGATGATGGCATAGTCGTCTCAATGTTTGGTATTCAACCTTTAGCCATGCGGATTCAGCTAGGCCTTTCTGGCCAATCTTGTATTTTAGTTCTTCAAACAGTAAGTTTCTTTCAGCTGTTGATATGCCTTGATTGCGATGAGGGTAGCGGCTGTAGCCTGCCATGATGTCGTCACTCCAGCTCACGTTCCAGTTGCTCCGCCACATAGGGCGATCGTCCCTCAACGTGGCAAAAACTTTTGCAACAGGCTTCTCCAAATCATTTTGGTATTGAGGCACCTTGCTGTGTATCTGCTCCATGTTCATTCCAAAGCGTTCATGGAAGCGTGTGAAACTGAAAAGCACAGATCCCGCAACGACCGTCCCATCCTCGACGATCACCAAATCCTCCAAAACAAGCCTCGAGAAGGGGCCGGCTGGGACTTGGCGAGCTTGACCAACCCATTCTGTCTTGTCAACTTGTGGCATCCAAAAGAATCTCATGACATGGTCTAGTCGTAGCCGAGTTTGCAATTTGACCTATATAGTATATAGTTGGACTATGTTGGAATACAGCTTCACAGTTTCATCTTTCGCTACAATGTACAATTTCCCCGGCTTTGCCTGGAGGCCAGTTCCAAAGGAAAATGCGCAAAGTCCCCAACGCGGTACTCCATCTGCCAATCTGCTGCATGCAACGTGATTGTGGTATCAGGTCCATATTTGGAGCCAAGAGATGGAACAGCAGCAACCTGGAAATTCTCTGGATAGCGTTGTGGCAAATAATCCAGCAAAAGCTCTAACACTTCGTGTTGTGGTCCCAGGCAACCTTTAGACTGAATCAAATGCTTGTCGCGCGATGGCGACTGGAAGATTTCATGCTTCTTCTGCAGGTGTGCAGTCGACGGCTCAAAGAGGATCCAATCCTTTACCTGAAACGACGGGGCGAAAGCACGCCAAAGGCAGGCCAATGAACCCCACCCAGCCAGAAAGGCCATGAAAGACCAAAGGCCACTTTGAACGGTCAAAAAGCTTAAGCTAGAGGCACAACAAGCCCAGTCTGTCCCCATCTTCCAACTTCTCCACCCTACATCTATCATAGGTTAATCTGGCAAGCCCAAATAGTCTCATGAAGTGCGAGGTTCAACCATTTCACCACACCTACCCTCGTGCATTTCGCATCAAAATGACCAAGCCGCATCAAGACGGTAGAGGTTCGGTCTCAGTCTCCCTCGTGGGGTCACTGTCTCAGTCAAATTGCGGCGAAGCCAAGTAAAGGCAGAAGGCTCTCTTCGCATGGGCTCAGAACTCAGGCCTAGATTCGGCCTAGATCTACTGCGTCTACCTTTTCACCACTGAGTCATCGCACCAAAAAAGCTCTGTCAGTGCCCTGAGAAATCTGTTTGTAACAATGAGTGTCCCTGTAAATGTGCGTGTGTATCTAGGCCTGTCCAAGTCTGGTTGCGGTTGGGCAGTGCTAATTACAGTAAATGGAACTTAAGTGCCTCTTGGAGGAGCTTGAAGCGGGAGCAGACAAGGTGCACACATGCCAATGAAGATTGCTCCATGTGCATGCTGGCTTGTGAGTAACCCCGTATCGCCTCCGGCAGAACAGCTACTTCGGGCCCGACCGGCAAAACATAGGAAGCAGCCGCGCCATCTGCACCTACGAGAAGTCAAGTGTGCATCTCAGTTGTTGCAGTAGCATTACTTTTCATCTACATAGATGATTCAAATTACCGGTATGTACATAAATATGTACATATCCTGAATGGCGACAGTCAATCCTCCTCTTGATGGTGCAAACTCAAGTATGATCGAATATGACTATCCAACTTCGTGGCCTCTTCTGGCTGCTGCACCGTATTTGAGAAAACCTGAACCCTTGCAAACAGAGCTGCGCAACAACTTTGATCTTGATAGCAGCGGAAGTTGTGCTGGGCTCACTGCTCAACCTTCACGCAGCAAAACAAGGTCGGAATATAGGTTCAGGGGAAGCAGGGTGAGAAGCAACTCCAAACATTTCCTAGCCGCGGCACGTGCAGGGGACAAAGCTTACTGTCTCCTACCAGAGATGCCTCAAATGTACATCCGGGCAATCGCAAGGCTGAGCAGTGCCTCACTTGCTGCTTGGCAGCTGACTGCCACGAAAGCTTCGTCTCTTCTGACAACTAGTGCATCCAGCATCAACTCCCAAGGAGTCCTTGCTGCATCTTTTCTTGAGGGCAACTGTGGTGGGGTGGACGAAGCTGATTCCAAAGCAACTCCGCTTTGTCCCAGAACGAATGCTCTGGGATGTCGTCTTGAATTGCTTGCGCCATGCGCAATAAGCGTTGAGTGACACATGCTTTGGAACGTGAAGTCAGGGCAAACGCTGACGATTAGGAGAAGTGTGGTGGTTTTTAATTGTGCACTTTCACGATATTCTCTCAGAAGGCCTTGGCCCATTCCTTAGCTGATTCGAGCTGTTGCGCCTGCAAGTGCAAGCAAACAGCACCTGCAAGAATACACGCAGAGCTCAAAGGAGACCTACCACAACGTGCATAGAATGCGTGACTCACCGTTCTAGTGGTTGGTTTTTGGAACTGAGGGCTTTCAATCTATTGGTATGCGCACTTTTCCACCAAAGATCCATGGCAGGATCTTCCAGAAGACTGTCAGGGTCCCCCTGTTCAGGGCAAACCGGCTTTCCAGCATCTGGAGGAATTTCCCATCCCTCCTGGCGACGCAGCATTTCATTTAACAGCTCTAAGCTGGCAACAAAAATGCAGTGTTTGTCACAGCCCGTCGCTTCCTGAATCTTCCGCCGGTCTGGTAACCAAGGTGCTTGGAGGGACTGACCAGCAAGGCTGTTCCAATTGAAGCCTTGACTGAAAGATCTGGAGCAGAACACCGCATTGGGAACGGCAACTGCTCCCGGCCTGAAAAGTACGGATGCTCTTGAAGGTCCTCGGCGCCAAAGCACAAGGATTGTCAGAAAAGACCCGGGCAAATGCATCAGCACCCGATGAAGAAGACAGCCCACCTTGGCTCCATGAGAGGAAGCACACAAGCGCAGCTCAGGGGTTCGCTCCAAGAGCTGCGAGATCAAACCTGAGACATTCTGCAAAGGCTTTTCGTCGGACATATACATATAATGCATATATGTTTAAACAATCCTGTATACATATAAATATATATATATACATATGGACCTATTACACTGTGTAAATTGTATGTAATTACGTGTATATACATGTGTTGCAAATCCCATAGACATGGCGGGAAAGGCTTCTTCAACTGCACAAACACAACTCAAACGGGTCCCATGTTGGGAATGGTCCAAAACTCCAGGGCGCTAATTGCGGTCTTGTCCGTGATATAGCTTGGAAATGCCAGCGGTGCCTATCACGTGGACTCTGCCCAATTCTTCCAAGGCTGCACTTCTGGCAGCTTCGTAAAGTAAGGTAGATTGAGTAGCACAAAGGCTCGGCCCTTGCGCCTCCATGATCTCCTTGAGCAGCTGCAACTGATCATCAGAATCCCTGCCTGGGCGGTATTTCCAATTTGCCACTCGGCTATCACTTGCACTCCAACCGGACTCTAACCGAAGAAAGGGAGAAAAATTGATGCGTACATTCAAAGGACTCGCCCAACAGTAACTGCACAAGACCATAGCAAGCGGGTAGAGCCAAGAGTCCAAAGGGGAGTGGCCCCACGATGAACTCGTGCATCATGACCTCAGCTTTTGGACGTGTGTATGTTGGGCATGCGGCACACTTTAAGAGATTTCAGGCATCTAAGGACAATTGAACTTGCGGAGAGGAGTCTAAGCCAAGCGCTCCCAACGCCCACCAATCCACAGCACACGTGTAACCTGTCAGCTTCGTGCTTAGTTACTGCATCACACGTGAAATCAACATATATATGTCAACCAAATCGAGCTGAAAATTGAGTACAAAATGGAAAATCTAAAGCATATCTGAACATTACATTCCGGTGCCCAAATTTCAATTGTGCAAAAGTACCATGGCCTTTTCCAATGATGCTCTCAGGCGCAAAGTACTCCGGCGTCCCAACTAGTGTGTTGGACTGCAAAGACTTTTTGCAGCATCCAAAGTCAACAAGCTTCGCATTTCCCCGGAAATCCAGCACCACGTTCTCCGGCTTCAGGTCCCGGTACATGATCGACCGAGCATGCAAGTACTCTAACGCCAAAGTGATGCAACCCCCGAAAAACCTCAGAAAAGAGGGTGGCAAGAGCAGTGTGTTGCTGCAAAAGGTCCACCCACTATACGTGCGGCGGCATTTATTTGGTACTAAACTCAAATACACTATCTATTATGTGGGGGCCCTATCTCGTTTGGACTACTCAAGTAGGAGGTCATGTCACAGCATCTCGTTCAGACTACTTTAGTGTCATCAAGCACAAGTATCTCGTTTATGTGGGGGCCCTCTCTCGTCGAATTCTGATACACAAGCAATAAGAGCATGCCGTAGACTATCTTAGTATTAGTAAACCCTTTCAAGGTGGTTGCTCATAATTAATGTCATATATGTCTCACAATTGAATTCCAGCCCTGTCAGCAATTTCATAGCGTCATCCACCAGCATTCCCCTGGAGCGGATGCCAATAACAAAAAAATACAACTGCTCATGATGCCACGTCACTGCGACTGTCGCTTGCTAAGATTGCCGATTTCGCGGATGGCTGTGAACAAGTCACCTCCTCCCAAAAACTCCGTCAAGAAATAGACGTTCTTGCTGTCCTGTTTAATGACCAACTGCCAAGAAGGCACATCATCCACTGAAAAAGAAATAAACACTTCTCATGGGCAAGGCCACCTACAAACGTCCAACTTTGTGCATCCCTTGGCCTGGAAAGTTGTGATGAAGTGCATGATGCACGGATGATAACATTGCGCATTAATCTCACGCTCCAGGAGCATTGACTTTTCTTGCTTCTGCTGCACAACCTGCTTCTTTCCAATACACTTGAGGGCATAGTACTTTTGCCTTGGCTGTCATTCTGGAACCCTGGAGTGCTTGCAACAATTGCGTTCACACTTGAAAACCAAGCCAGGCCACTTGTCACGCTTGTGGAACACCAGCTTCACCAATCCAAAAGATCCTCGACCAACAACCGCCTTCACATAGAGATCTGACATTTCCTTGGGTTGCAAATCTGCCGCCACGATATCCACTTGAGAGATCCTACAGCCCGCGTCCATGGTTGAAGCCAAGCTACAATCTTGAGGTCTTGCAGCATCATGCGATGCTCCAATTCCTTTCTGAAAGTGCCGACGATATCCTCGGTTCTTGTTAGAGCACTGCGATCACCTAAACTGTCTGCAAAGTCATGTTGAGAACTGTTCTTGCATTGCAAATGTCTGAAACTGCTTCAGAATAAAACTGCCTACACTAGACTGCAATTGAAGGCCAGCGGAACCAACCAACCCAGCCATGCTGCATTTTCACTGTCGCTGATCGCTGTTCATGAGAATCAGCCCGGTCATAACGCGCATGGATCATTGATCACAAGTAGCGTCATGGCACACACACACACACTGCTACATTACCACAAGGGTATGCTAGTGCGGGCGTACGTATGCACATATGCCAGCACGCATCCAGGGAAGCTGTCCATCACTGCACCATGAAGATGGACCGGCCCTCTTGGTGCCAACGCCATCGGCTCTTAGTTTCTTCTCAGGCAAACATCTATATACACGAGAGCATGTGGTTTTCCAAGGGGAGGGATAAAACATGCAGCACTGAGCTGAGCCCATCATCCAGCATGAGCCCATCGCCATCGCGTCGTCACCTAGGCACTGCGAAGACAGCCTTTTCGAGGCGAAGGAGAGTGGAGGGTTCGTCAGCTTCACAGGTGGCAGAGCGGTTCTCCTGCAGCAGCAAGCCTGAGGGCATTCACAAGTGGACTTCTCCTTGGAAAACGTGACCAAACGGGCCAAACGAACAAAATACCCCTGCCAGGCGGGATAGTGTTCTACATTTTTGCATGCTGACATAGAAAGCCTCTTGAATGTTAAGTTTTTGAAAAACTCTTCTGATATCAGTGTGCCTTGCAGTTGGGGATCAAAACTTTTTTGCATTACGTAGATGGACTCTCGCACTGCCCCTGCCCACCTCGCTCGCCGAAATAGTCCCATTTCAGCAACACTCGAAGTCGCTGCCCATCTCTAGAAACACCAATTGCACCGCTTTGGATGAGGTAAAAGTGGTTGGCCTCGAGAGGCAATACAATTTGCCGACCTTGCTCAATGACTCAAGTGAGCTCGAAAGGAAACCCAGTATCGTTCCGTTTTCTTGCCACGTCGAAAAGTCTTACTGTGCCTGCGCCCCCTGCTTTACCACCACTTCTCCAGAAGCATACTCACATTTTTCGAAGCTCCGAATCACGCGCTCCTGGGCCAAGGAGAACGGCAGCCATGGGCAGCCCAAAGAGTTCAAACATGTTCAAGCTGCCCCTCAGCAACTGCAACTCAAGGTGCCATCTGATCATTCTGCAGGTTTTTAAATAGGAAAATGTCACCGAGAACGCGCTTGATCTCGTTCATCTTGACAATCTCACCAAGGTCCCCTGCAGGTATCTACAAATCAATCGGTTACTATATACATATCACTTCTCATCGAAACACTGAACTCTCTTGCGGAGTCTTCATCGCCTTGAAGCACTTGTGACACCATGGTATGGGATACACGGTGGAGCTGTGTGTTTTCCATCGCCACCAGCCTCGCAGAAGGAAACACTTTGATGTCTCACCTATGGGTTGCTGTGGCTCAGATCTGATTGTCTAATATTGTCTGCATGGTCTGCAATCCCATCCACCTCAGCTGACACCCTATATAGGCCTTATATTATATATATACACATGACACAGGAATGGAGAATTTGGGGAAGACAGCTTTCGTTTCGATGCTGAAGTCTGCAGTTGCTGTGCCCAATGATTTGTCTCTTTTCCCACCCATCCACTCATATCCACTCCTGTACTCCATGGGTGTGTTGTTCAGTAGTGACTGCGCCCCATGCAGCTGGCCAGGCTTCAGAACTGACACAGCCTGCAGTTGCAGGCAGAACTGAAACGCTGAAGGACTCCCGGCAACACCGACAGTCACTGCTTGCAACACTGCAACACTGTTGCTAGTCTCTAGTCTCCAAATCAAGTGTGCCAGAAATGTTTATCGAAGAATTCGCGAACTTGTCATGCGGAATGCGCCCCCATGGATTGAGATGCGGAAAAAAGGGGTTCGCCTTGGCGGCTAGCTCTTCAGGCGTGCTCGCTGCTGCTGCATCTGCACCCATCACGGCCACCTGTCAAACAAAGCATGTCTATCTATCCAATCAGCAACCTCTGACAGTGTGCAACTCACGCCTGCCCAACGACAACCACGAGGAGTTGGGCAGGAGCTCCAGCAGATACGATCCTTAGCATTGCAAACCATGTAACACCCACACACTGCCCATTGTTCAGCAACCTCAAGGGCAGCGAATCGCATTACAATTCTGCAAGGCTTTGGACAGAAGCTGTGCAGGCAGGGGTCGGGGAACCAGCAGCGAAGGAAGCCTCTTCGAACCGATCTACGACCTCAGAAGCCAGGCACGACTCAAATAAACCCATCAAAAGATCGATAAACCATCGTCAAAGGAAGTTTAGAAGGAACTTCCGTGTTACGAACATTTACATCACTCATCATACACCACTCATCATACACCACTCATCATACACCACTCATCATACACTACTCATCATACACCACTCATCATACACCACCCATCATACACCACTCATCATACACCACTCATCATACACCACCCATCATACACCACTCATCATACGCTACTCATCATACACCACTCATCATACACGACTCATCACACACCAGTCATCATACACCACTCATCATACACCACTCATCATACACCACTCACCATACACCACTCATCATACACCACTCATCATACACCACTCATCATACACCACTCATCATACACTACTTATCATCCAGTTTGCTCTACCTCCAGTTGGCTCTAGTGTCAATAGCTCTAGCTCCAATAAGCTCTTAGTTTCAAAAGCTCTAGCTCCAGTTAGCTCTGGTTTCAACAGCTCAAGCTCCAGGCAAGTCCAGCTCCAGGTGCAGATTTCGTGGCAGGTGCAGCACTTTGTGAACCTCCATGTGCAGATTTCGTGGCAGGCACAGCACTTTGCGAACCTCCATGTGCAGATTTCGTGGCAGGTGCAGCACTTTGTGAACCTCCATGCGCAGATTTCGTGGCAGGCGCAGCACTTTGCGCACCTCCATGTGCAGATTTCGTGGCAGGCGCAATACAAATTGCGTTGTGGAGAGATAGCGAACGCACGAAATGCTGTATTTTTCAATGGAACCGCTGGCTCCGAAGCTGGCAAGTCAAGGTCTGCGGAACGACGGTTGCGAGACAGTCTTGGGTCATTCTCGGATCATTCTCGGAGTCATTCTCGGGCATGGTCGGAATCGTCCCTCCATTGGGATTAGAGTTTTCACTTGTTTCTTGAAGTGCAGATTTCGTAGCAGGCACAGCACTTTGTGAACCTGCACGTGCAGATTTCGTGGCAGGTGCAGCGCTTTGTGAACCTCCATGTGCAGATTTCGTGGCAGGTGCAGCACTTTGTGAGCCTCCATGCGCAGATGTCGTGGCAGGTGCAGCACTTTGTGAACCTCCATGTGCAGATTTCGTGGCAGGTGCAGCACTTTGTGAAGCTCCATGTGCAGATTTCCTGGCAGGCACAGCACTTTGTGAACCTCCATGTGCAGATTTCGTGGCAGGTGCAGCACTTTGTGAACCTCCATGTGCAGATTTCGTGGCAGGCACAGCACTTTGTGAGCCTCGAGGTGCAGATTTCGTGACAGGCGCAGCACTTTGTGAACCTCCAATGGGCAGATTTCGTGGCAGGCACAGCATCTGGGGAGCTGGAAGCTGAGAACTGGCGACTTTGTAGTACAACTTTAGTACGCGGAGC